AGAATTGTGTCACACCTAGGACTAAAAGGTAACATGGTATCGGGCCTTAGAATGGCCGGACTTAACTTACCCAAGGATAGTCAGAATACTTGCCGAGGTCTGGAATACCAGAATACAGGAGAATCAAAACTAAGCCAAAGTAAAAAAAAACAGTAATAAACGCTCAGGAACACACTCTTGGACAACCACTAAGGGAAACCATGAAAGAGCAATGAGGGAAAGTAAAATTGCGTTTAAATAAGCCCTTTACAAATCTGATTGGCCGAAAATCGGCCTTTGACCCCAGAAAGTGCGCACTCATCTCCCATGTGACATCACATGCACGCCGACATCAATGTGGGCGGACTTGGGGCTATAATTTGGAGTGGATCTGCAGTGGCCGGTGTCCATCAACATGTTGCAGGAGTCGGGTTCACAGACGTATGGCCACTGAGCACAAATACCGCAAGGTGAGGATTAATATGTTACAGTAACCTAGTTACACTAACAATAGAGTTAATGGAAGCCCACATATAGTTGCAAGCTTTTAAAACCAACCCTTTTATTTTGTACAGCTATAAATTTAGATTATTAGCTGCATAAGTTATTTCAGCAGAGTTATATCCTAACATGTACTTTAAAGACTAAATGATAATCACTCAGAGTGCAGCAAAAGATAATGTTTAATAACACGATGTTAGAGAAAATATAAAAAATATTAATACACATTTTCTAGCTAAACACTTGTAATTACGAGACAATTACCTTTGCATTACTAATCATATATTTCCCACGATTGCAGTTAAAAGCATATCAAATGCTATCCAAGCAACTTAATCTAAACACAAGTATAAAAGCTATAACAAAATTATACAGTTTTATACTTAACGTCCCAGGATCTTAGATGAAATGGAGATCAAGGTTTCTTTTGCTCTGGATAGATCAAACTCCATGTCCTGGATAAAAAATATGGGACTAGAGCACATACTTACAGCCTCAGAATAAAATAGTAAGGCTGCCTGAGCCCCTGTACTACTACAACACTGGCACTAGTAAGTATATCAGGAATGGGGTACAAAAGTGGGGTAAAGATAACAGCTGTCAGAAATTTGAGCATGGACTGGTAGGATTGTTGCGTGTGGGGAAATAGTAAGTTGTACAAAGGAAGTTGGATTACGTTTTAATGCAATTCTTGCACATATCTATGTTACTACTGCAGAATTAAATAATGTGTATTGAAAAGAATCTGTATTGATAGAGTGCCTATGAAGACATGTATATTGGATATGACAGTATATTGGATACTTTCACTGCCAGACTAAACTCATTTATACTATGCTCTGTCTGTATATTTACACTATGATATAAAATGGACCAACTATAGCTGCATTTTCTGTGCAGCTCATTTTAACTGCTTTATACATATTCTGGGATATATATTTTGATGTATATACAGCTACCTCGTTAATATACTTTAGTTTAGAAGGTATACATTTAGTGAGTGTTTATTTCCTCTTTTTTCAATATATGAACACTTATTTTTGTTTGTTCTTATCCATTAGTATTCCCTTGGAATTGCTATTTGGTCAGGGCACCTAGGTGTTCATTTTCTGTGTCCCTGTAATTTGCAGGTGTTCATTTTCTGTGTCCCTGTATTGAATAAATATGACAACCAGTAGAGGTGGACTTAGCCTGCAATGTAAATATTAGTTTGGAAAAAAACTGCAATGTTTTACATTGCAGGGTTTAAACAAAAGGGCCTATGCACCTAAGCCACTTAATTGAGAACAAAACAACAAATACTTGCACTTTAGTGGTTCTTAAAAATTGGTCATGTAATTATTTTCTATTTTTCAAACTGAATACTAATTATATTTAGTGACATCTAAATTGATATTACTTGGCAGGACTAGGTACAAAGAATTCCCCAGGGGAAGTGTGGCTAGATAGAGACTATATTTTCAATGTACGAATGACAAAATTATTCCATCCTGTATTTTACCAGCAGGGACTGTTTACTTTCTGATAACTGCTAAATATATCAAATATAGATTTATTTAGTTTTCCAAAATCACACTAAAGCATAATTTAATATAATAAAAAAATGTACTATTGACCCACTGGTCAATACATTATCCCTGGATTCTAACAAGCAAGCTTGCTAGAAACTCCAAGCTGCTTTGAGAGTTTTAGAAATGTGTGTTTCTTAGCATAGGGAAATATCAATCAATTCCCTGGTATTGAAATGTAATGATTTCAAATAATGATTTATTTAAATGATTTATTTAAATTATTTATACCATAAATAAGCAAAATAAAGTGGTGCTTTGAGGGTAGCATGTTGGATTTATTTCCATTATATGATTTCCTTAAGCCATGTACTTCTGGCAGTGATGTCACAGGCCAGCCTACTCTAGGGAAGTTACATCCTACTGGAAATAAAATAACAGATGTAAGACGAATTGAGGCTCTGTTTTTCTGACTGACCCAGCATGTAGATTTACCAATGGAATGAAAGCAGATAGCATATCGGTTTAGAGAGAAGGATTAAATATTTGTTTTAAGGTTATATGTTGCTGTAGAAGATAGTGATAGAAACATAGAAACATAGAATGTGACGGCAGATAAGAACCATTCAGCCCATCTAGTCTACCCAATTTTCTAAATACTTTCATTAGTCCCTAGCCTTATCTTATAGTTAGGATAGCCTTATGCCTATCCCACTCATGCTTAAACTCCTTTACTGTGTTAACCTCTACCACTTCAACTGGAAGGCTATTCCATGCATTCACTACCCTCTACCATGCATAATTCCTGATATTATTTTTAAACCTTTGTCACTCTAATTTAAAACTATGTCCACTTGTTGTGGTAGTTTTTCTTCTTTTAAACATAGTCTCCTCCTTTACTGTGTTGATTCCCTTTATGTATTTAAATGTTTCTATCATATCCCTCCTTTCTCTTCTTTCCTCCAAGCTATACATGTTAAGATCCTTTAACCTTTCCTGGTAAGTTTTATCCTGCAATCGATGAACCAGTTTAGTAGCCCTTCTCTGAACTCTCTCTAAGCTGTGGTAACTTGTCTTCCTTGCATGGTAATTTATCTTCCTTTCAGGACCTCCTTAAACAGGTCTAGGTAGGAGGGCTAAGAATCAATTGCTAAAGGAAGTGATGCATGAACAGGATGTGATGTAAAACACATCATCTCAACTAAGGGTATATAACATAAGGCCAGGCAGGAAATCTTTCTGTTGCTTCCTTTTCTTCCTTGGTGGATGTGATGTTGAACTTGCAGCAGTGAGCCATTACTAGATGTGAAGGCCTAACTGTGGGTGAGATCAAACGTGTGGGGAAGGGGATTACTATATAGATAGATAGATAGATAGATTTAAAAAGGGTTGTTGCTCCGTGGGCTGTGTGTTTGTGATACATTTATAGTATTGTTGTTGCCTTTTAATAAATACCTTTTAATGTAGACGAACCTTGTGTAATATATATATATATTAAGTTGGTGATATACCACATTTGGCGACCACGAATTTTAGACTTCTACAAAGGTTATTTATGAGGTAATAACATATTAATAGATAGTCAGATTTATTTTTTGGGGGGAGGAAAAAAAAAAAGTACTTTGTTTAATTATCATCTGCATGGGAAATCAAGGGCTGATTGTGTGTGGCGTGTAGTTTGGGCCTCCATTTTAATATACAATTTTGAATATATTAGTTTTTTTGTGTTTTTCAAATACCTGAGTTTGTTGTGTTTTGTGTGCTTCAAATATCTGAGTTGAGTTATCAGAGTACAGGCCTAGCCCTGCATTTGAATATCAATATCCTTCTGAAGATACTGTCTCCAGTACTTTGTACAATACTCCAAGTGAGGTCTCACCAGTGTTCTGTACAATGGCATGGGCACTTCCCTCTTTCTACTGCTACTACCTCTCCCTATACAACCAAGCATTCTGCTAGCATTTCCTGCTCCTCTATTACATTGTCTGCCTACCTTTAAGTCATCAGAAATAATCACCCCTAAATCCCTTTCTTCAAATGTTGAGGTTAGGACTCTATCAAATATTCTGTACTCTGTCTTTGGGTTTTTGCGTCCAAGATGCATTATCTTGCACTTATCCACATTAAATGTCAGTTGCCACAACTCTGACCATTTTTCTAGTTTACCTAAATCATTTGCCATTTGGCTTATCCCTCCTGGAACATCAACCCTGTTACATATCTTAGTATCATCATCAAAAAGACATACCTTACCATCAAGACCTTCTGCAATATCACTAACAAAAATATTAAAGAGAATGGGTCCAAGTACAGATCCCTGAGGTACCTAACAGGTGACAAGTCCAAGCTTCAAATATGACTACAACCCTCTGTTGCCTGTCACTCAGCCACTGCCTTACCTATTCAATAATATTGGAATCCAAACTTAAAGATTGCAGTTTATTGTATTGCTTTTGATGTTCTTACCAATCTCTGGTATTTTTTTTTACTTTTTGTCTGAGCATTTGGAATTCAATCCACCATTGATCACATGGTGTATAAATGATTGAGATACTTTAATTTTATCTGAGACTATAATGGTCATCCCTCTCTTTGTTTATGTCCAACTAAATTGCCTAAATATACATAAAGATATTTATAAAAACTGACATGGCTTTCTTTGTTTTTGGCCATCATGAACCCAGCGGGTTTATTATACCATAGCAACATCAATGTTGTGTTCTATTAAAAGCTTATACAGACAGCCCCTCTTTTGCGAATTATTTAGACCCTTGACATTTAGCATAACAACTCTAAATCGGTATTTCTATATTACATCCAACTATACATCATAAGATCCTCACGTCCCCTCCATGGCCCCACAAAATGTTCAAAAAGTTACCTGGTTATTCTCCCCTGAAAAGGGTATGCAAGATGGTAATACCTTCACAGACCGTCACAACTGGTTGGCAGGGGCGGGATCATCCCTTTTTCCTGAATTGAGAATGCAAGGTGGGCACTGATGTACAGTGAATGGAAGGCTGGTACACACAGTTTAAACGCAGCACATCGAAAGAGTTATTAGGAATTTGTGGCGGTACCGCCAGCAACAAAGCCAAGTGGGTCATAATCAGCGAACTGATGGAACTAGACCAGGAGAACTTGGCCGCGGCAACCCCGACCGTTCGGGAAAACGAAATGGAGATCAACAGAGAGATTAGGGAACGATTGGCACTGTTCGGGCCAAACCCATATCCTGAAATCATAATGCAAGTGAATAATAATGTGACTGAAAATGCAAAAGCTAGGGAACAGCGAGAGCTGCAATTACGTTTAGCTGAAACCCAACGAACAGCAGCAATATTGCAAAACGGAGTCAGCAGCACAGTCGAATTGCATAAGATTCCCTTTAGTGCATTTAAAAGTTTCAATGAAACGGAAAGTGAAATTGATGGCTACCTGGCAGATTTTGAATGCCAGTGTGCATTACACAAAGTGGCTACAGATGAATGGGTCCCTATATTAGCAGAAAAGCTGTCAGGCAAAGCATCAGATGACTTTTGGGCAGTTCCAAACCATGAAATTCACAGCTATGAGCGGGTAAAAGAGGCGCTCTTAGCCAGGTCCCCCCATCAGAAGAGTTGTCATCTTGGCATAGCGCAGTTGGCCTCTGCCCTCCCCGTCCCCCTGGTTCAGAGCCTGGCTCTCTGCAGGCTCCCCCAGCAGAAGAGCTGGCATCCAGGCAGAGTGCCGCTGGCCTCTGACCTACTTACCCCCTTGTTACCGGACAGGATTGTACACCCCAGCAGAAGCGCTGGCAACTAGGCAGAGTGCAGTTAGCCTCTGCCCTCCCCTGGTCCATGATCTAGGAACTGACCACCCACTCCCCTACCCAGCTGTAATGCTGACTGCAGGGCAGAGCACTGCTGGCCTTTGCCCTAATGGTGCCCTTGCCACCGGGCAGGATAATGCCCTAGTCCCCCCAGGTGAAGCGCTGACATCGAGGCAGAGCGCAGCTTGCCTCTGCCCACCAAGTACCCACAGCTTCTTGCCTAGTTGCACCAGGGAGATCAAGGGTGCTGAACACCCACTCAGCAACCTGGGACATACCAGACAGAGCCGGGCACCAGGAATCACCAGGTGCAGTAATTGTTTATTGAAGGTCAGGAACCTGGTTATTCTCCCCTGAAAAGGGAACATGTGTGACAAACCCCCCTTATTAAAGGAGTTTGCTATGAGTTTTTGGAGGGGCCTGCTTGCCAGCCTCCTACCCTTGGACTATGGGCCCTGTGATAAGCCATTTTCAAAAGTACTGTTTCTGCCCCTTTTACTTCTTGTCACATATTCATCTGCACATAAAAATGTGATTAATGGCATTTACTGTTCTGACAGGAAAAGTTGTGCCGAACAACATTACTGTCCTGACTGGAAAGTTGTGCCGAGCAGCAATCAATCCACAGGAGGGTTTGTACTGAGCAGCAATCATGCAAATAGGTACCTGGTAACTGCCTTTTGGGGTCAAAGGCCAGTTACAACAAATAAGATCCATAGGCGGGGTATTTAGGCCCAGTTCTCCTCTTGCTCTGTGCCCTGTCGTGGTTTCCCTTGTGGTTGTCCAAGAGCGCGTTATTGATTCTGGTTATTCTGGTATTTTGACTTTGGCATTGATTTTGACTTCCCTGTTTTCTGGCATCCCTGACCCCTGGCTTTTCCTTATCACTGTGTCTCTTTCTGTGTCCCTTGACCTCGGCTATTCCTGACTATTCTTTGGTACGTTAGTCCGGCCATTCTAAGGTCCGGTATACGTTACCTATCAGTTCTCTGTGTTACACAATTCTACGTGCTGGATCATACTGTAATCCTGACACTTTTAACTGGAACAAATTCAAAAATGTGGTGGCGGTGGCCTTCTTAAATTATCCAACAGTGTTTTGCAATCGAGTGTATGGAACGGTTTTGGGCATGGGACCATGTGCACGGTGGAGCAAAAATAAGACTTTGATAAAACTTTTTAACCCCTTCTCTGACCTGGGTGATTTTTGGATATGTTGTTCACCCAGATCAGTGCTATCCAGGGATGTATAATTTATGGGGATATGTTGGCGTTTTGGGGTGTTTCTGGACTTTGGGTAAAAAATTGTGTTTTCTACCTGTGGGTAATTAAGTTAGTCCATTGTCTTTGTTATTGTATCACAGACAGAGGGGAGTGTTTGTGTACAGTAACTGGGAGTGTTCAAATGTAAAACTGTTTTTATTGTAGGATTGTGCTTTTCATGTCCTGTGCCCTACAAGGTCCACATGTGTGGTAACCTTGTGGGGAAATACTGTATAAAAGAAGCAGCCGTACCATTAAACCTTCAGTTCTACTTAACCCTCAACTCGCAACCTCGACTCGTGTTTGGAGGGGACAGCTATAATCACTATAGGGATTGCTATGCTCTTCATACTCCCTTAGCTTCACTGAGCTCTTGTAAGAGCTTGTTCCTGTTCCTGCTTCACTCTCTGGGGAAAGAGAGGTTCACCCCCTGGAACCTGGAGCCTTGTTGTAGGTCCAGGGTGGGTAGGAGATGGCAAGACCCCAACCAAGCTGCGGTGGTTCGTGGGGGTCTGAGGTGGTTATGGTGTCTGGTGTGGTGCTGATGGTCCTTGGTGAGCGCTAGGGGCATCTTTCTATGGTCAAACCCGCAGCTAGCCGGGGAGAACCATAACACAGGGCATTTTGGAATCAGCCGGACCTTGCACTAGGGGACCCAGAACTTCTTCTGGTCTGGAGTATCCGATGATGTCCGGAGGTATTGCCAAACCTGTGAGGTATGTCAGCGAGTAGGCAAGAAAGGGGACCATCCTAAAGCCAAGAAGATCTCTATGCCCATAATTGAGGAATGGGCTGGGCTAAGGGTCCTATGAGATCTACGGCTACCAGACTAGTCACTTCGGTAAGCGATATATCCTTACCGTAGTGGACTATGCCACCCGATACCTGGAGGCAGCAGCTGTCTCCAATATCCAGGCTGAGACAGCCTGGATATTAAACCCCTGACAAGCTCCTTGTACCATCCTCAGAATAACGGTCTCTGTACACGCTTTAATGGAACTCTGAAGCAAATGCTGAAGATGTTCATGCATTTACTGAGACTGGGAACGATTCCTGCTGCATCTTATCTTTGCTTACCAGGAGGTACCCTTTGTGCTTTTGTACGGGAGGCGCATGAGGTAACACTGGGAGGGGGAGACAGAGACCGAGGGGACCCCGATTGTCTCCTATGTGCTGGAGCTGAGGGACCATATGGAGGAATTGGCTCAGGAAGCACGGGTGAACCCTTTAGGTGGCCCAGCAGCACCAGCGGGTATGGTAAGACCGGAGAGCCAGACACCGTAGCTTCCAAATCGGACAAAAGGTTATGGTTCTCAAGTCAGTCCAACAAGATAAGCTTCAGGCTGCCTGGCAAGGTCCATACAAGATCATTGGGCAATTGTGTGATACCACGTACACAGTGGCTAGTTGTGAGGATGAGGGTGTGAGATGGACGTTTCACATCAACATGCTCAAAGAATATAAGGAAAGGGCCGAAGAAGTGATGCAATATGTGCCCCTGCAGGTGAGGGTACTGAAGCCCTGCCCTTGCTAGACATGTTAGGAGGTGCCCCGGGGACAAGGAACATAGAGTTTGTCCAATTGGGGGAACAGCTGGAGCCCTACAAACTGGCCCAAGCAACCCACCTGCTGGAAGCCAAACAAGCCATGTTTTCTCAGGAGCCATTGATAAGGTAGACTCCCTTGAGACAACACCCATACCGCATTCCAGAAGCTGTCAAGAAAGGGATGCGGAAAGAAATAGATGAGATGCTTCGTTTAGGGGTAATTGAACTCTCTGAGTCCTTTGTCTTCACCTGTGGCCTTGGTGCCAAAACGGGACGGCACGACCCGTTTTTGTGTCGACTACAGGCGGCTTAATGGTAACAGATGCCTACCCAATGCCCCGGGTAGACGAATTGCCCGACCTTATATCTGTCAGGATTACAGAATGATCCAGCACGTAGAATTGTATAACACCGAGGACTGATAGGTAACGTATACCGGACCTTAGAATGGCCGGACTAACGTACCAAAGAATAGACAGGAATAGCCAAGGTCAAGGGAAACAGAAAGAGACACAATAAGGAAAAGCCAGGAGTCAGTGATGCCAGAAAACAGGGAAGTCAAAAACAATGCCAAAGTCAAATAACCAGAATTACCAGAATCAATAACGTGCTCTCGGACCACCACAAGGGAAACCACGACAGGGCACTGAGCAAGATGAGAACTGGGCCTATATACCCCTCCTCTAGATCTCATAGGCCGTAACCGGCCTTTGACCCCAAAGCAGTTACCAGGTTCCCATTTGCATAATTGCTGCTCAGCATTAACCCTTATGTGGATTTGGTTGCTGCTCGGCACAACTTTTCCTGTGTGGACAGTAAATGCCATTAACCACATTTTATTAGCGGATGAATACGTGACATCACCCCCCACCTGAAATTTGGCGTGAAAATAGAAAATCTTGCGGTCAGCATGTTTATCAGATGCCGGAACCCAAGAACGATCGGCTGGTCTATAACCTTTCCAATCCACCAAGTACTGTAAAGTGCCCCGAGAAAACCTGGAATCAGTTATGGAGGAGACCTCATACTCTTCCTGTCTAGAAACAACTGAGGGAGGAGGAGGTACACTTGAGACAGTAAATTTATTGCAAACAAGAGGTTTGAGCAAGGACACATGAAAGGTATTAGGAATTTTCAAGGAGACCGGAATGGCCAGAGAGTATGGTTAATGGCATTTACTGTCCTACGAAGGACACGAAAAGGTCCAAGGTACCTCATGGTCCAAGAAATTTCATGCTAGGGACTTTGAGCCTGATGTTACAAGACCCTCTCACCCACTTGGTAAACAGGGTTGGCACCTCGATTTGTATCAGCATAATGTTCGAAACGGTCAGCAGCAGTACCCAGAGCAAATTGAACTTTAACCCAGGTATCACAGATGGAAGCCAGACGGTCATCCAAAGCAGGAATAGCCGTATCAGAAAAAACAGCCGGTAGGGCAGTAAGATGCCGGCCATTATTAACAAAAAATGGACTATGCCCAGAGGAGTCATGGTCAGATTGTTCCGAACAAACTCGGCCCATGGTAATAATTCGGACCAATTGTCTTGAGTGCTATTAATGAAACAACGCAAGTATAACTCCAAAGACTAGTTACCCCTCGCAGCTGTACCATTAGTCTTGGGGTGGTAAGAGGATGAAAAAGACAATTCAATCCCCAATTGCTTATTGGAACCAGGTCTTGAGATGACGGCAATTTCTTGAGAGGAATAAAATGAGCCATTTTAGAAAAACAGTCCACAACCATGAGAATGGTGGTATAACCGTTAGAACTTGGAAGTTCAACTATGAAGTCCATGGACAAGTGGGACCATGGGACCTCAGGAATAGGAAAGGGTTGTAACAAGCCACAAGGGAGTTTATGAGGCACTTTGGAAACCGCACAAACAGAACAAGCCTGCACATATTCCTTAACATCCTTCCTGAGGGAATCCCACCAGAATGACATCATGATAGCAGAAGTGGATTTATTAATACCTGGGTGACCAGCAGACACATTGTCGTGAAACACCTTCATGATATTAACCCTTTCCTCCAATGGAACAAACAGTTTGTCCTGAGGTTTACCGCAAGGCGTCTGATACTGAGCCTCCATGATGGAGCCAAGCAGTGGAGATGACAATGAAAGGACAGTGGATGCAATGATACATTCCGGGGGAATGATATGGGACATTTCTTGCTCTAGTATAGCCTCAGTATCAAACTGCCTGGAGAAGGCGTCGGCCTTGACATTTTTAGAACCAGGTCTGTAGGTGATAAGAAAATTAAAGCGAGAAAGAAATAGAGACCACCTAGCTTGTCTAGAAGATAATCACTTAGTATCTCCTATGTAAGCCAGGTTTTTGTGATCAGTAATGATCAAAAGGGGGTCCCTCTAGAACCCTCTAGAAGATGTCGCCACTCCATGAGAGCTAGAATAATGGCCAACAATTCTCTGTTGCCAATATCGTAATTGCGCTCAGCAGGAGACAGCTTTCTAGAAAAGTAACCACACACAAGGATGTAACAGAGTTTCCTGGCTCTCCCTCTCGGAGAGAACTGCCCCTACCCCTGTCTTTGAAGCATCAACCTCCAGTATGAAAGGCTTACTGGTGTCAGGATGTATCAATATGTGGCGGAGGCAAACCGCTGTTTGAGAGTTTCAAAGGCTTCAATTGCCTTCTTAGACCATATCGTATCACTTTTGGTGATGGGGGCTATTACTGAAGAAAATCCCTTTATAAATCTTCTGTAATAATTAGCGAAACCAATGAACCTTTGAATGGCTTTCAACCCAGTGGGTAAAGGCCACTGTAGAACAGACTCTAGTTTTTTAGGATCCATCTGAAACCCAGGGGCAGAAATATTATATCCTAAAAACTGTACTTCAGACTGGTCAAAGATACATTTTTCCAATTTACAATAAAGTTGTTTTTTAACAAGGTTTGCAGAACTTGTTTAACATGATTGTGGTGAGACTGGAGGTCAGGAGAATAAATAAGGATATCATCCAGATAGACCAAGACAAATGAGTAAATGCAATCCCTGAGTACATCATTTATGTAATATTGGAAAACCGCTGGAGCATTGCACAACCCGAATGGCATCACTAGATATTCATAGTGTCCACTTCTGGTATTAAATGCAGTCTTCCACTCGTGGTTTTCCTTGATTCTCACTAAATTGTAAGCACTTCTAAGGTCAAGCTTAGTAAACACTTTAGCACCCTGAAGTCTGTCAAATAATTCAGCAATAAGAGGAATGGGGTAGGTGTTCTTAATGGTGATTTTGTCCCTGTAATCAATACATGGACGCAACTCACCATCCTTTTTAGATACAAAAAAGAATCCTGCACCAGCAGGCGAGGATGATTTTTGTATATGGCCTTTAATCAATGAATCTTTAATATATTCCTCCATTACACTACTCTCCTGAGGATAGACTGCTCCCTTAGGTGGCATAGCACATGGTAGTAAGTTATTGGAAGTCATATGGTCTGTGAGGGTGGTCTCCCTTCAATAGCTTCAACAGCTAGGGGTGATAGTCTCTCTTTGATAGGTATAGTATTACCTTTGACAAATTGAACATTGATGAAGTTTCCAGCAGCACCTGAATCCATCAGGGCTTTGCATGAAAAGTTCCTGTTGTCAAAGGCGATAGAAATGTCAAGGAGAAACCTATTTTTATTCTTTTCAAAGGACGTTTCCATTACACCTAAGACCTCTCCCCTTAAAGTGCTTAGGTGCGGTATTTTTCGGGACGTATGGGACAATTGTTTCTCATATGTCCCTTCCTACCACATTATAGACATAGGCCTTCTTTTCTCCTATATTGTCTTTCTGCTTCCGACAGTCTAGTGATCCTCAACTGCATGGGTTCGGGTTCGTACTGTAGAGGAATTTCAGGGACAATAGGTCTGGAGAAACGGGGTGCTAAATGTATACTCATGCGTCTGGTCTTGTTTCTAGTAGCTTCTCTGGTTCTTAATCTATTATCAATCTGCACGACAAAAGTGATAAATTCATTAAGCTTTTTGGGTAAGTCTTTGGCAGCAATCTCATCTAGCATAGTTTCAGATAATCCCTTTTTAAATGCAGAGATTAACCCACTATTAGTTCAGTCTACCTCGGAAGATGGGGTACGAAATTCTATGGCATATTCTGAGATAGACCGGTTCCCTTGTCTGATGTGCATCAGGGCAGTAGAGGCGTCATCCTCTCTGCCTAAAGGTTCAAACGTAAGTTGGAATTCCGTAAGGAACTCCTGGTAATTGAGTGCCACACTCCTATTACTCTCCCATAATGGATTGGCCCAAGCTAAAGTTTTACCTTTTAATTGATTCATTAGGTAACCAATTTTAGCTCTGTCTGTGAGAAAAGATCCCGGTGAGGCCTCAAAATGATACTCTATTTGGTTAATAAATCCCCAGCATTCTTGAATATTACCATCAAAATGCAGGGGAGGAGATAGGGAGATAGTAGGTGCCATGTGAACTATAGCTGGAGGTACACAAGGTGGAGGTGAGGCCGCAGGTTGCAGATGCGCTGTTCGGGTAAGAAGCGTACTGAAGGCCTGGGCAAACTGATCCATGGGGTGATCATTATCCTCAGTTTCCTTTCACAAGGAGATATGTGCTTACACAATTCTGCAGGATCTATGGCCATGTCGTAATGTCAGGATTACAGAATGATCCAGCACGTAGAATTGTGTAACACAGAGGACTGATAGGTAACGTATACCGGACCTTAGAATGGCCGGACTAACGTACCAAAGAATAGTCAGGAATAGCCGAGGTCAAGGGAAACAGAAAGAGACACAGTGATAAGGAAAAGCCAGGGGTCAGGGATGCCAGAAAACAGGGAAGTCAAAAACAAAGCCAAAGTCAAATAACCAGAATAACCAAAATCAATAACGCGCTCTCGGACAACCACAAGGGAAACCACGACAGGGCACTGAGCAGGATAAGAACTGGGCCTAAATACCCCTTTTCTAGATCTGATAGGCTGTAACCGGCCTTTGACTCCAAAGGCAGTTACCAGGTTCCCATTTGCATAATTGCTGCTCAGCATTAACCCTTATGTGGATTTGGTTGCTGCTAGGCACAACTTTTCCTGTGTGAACAGTAAATGCCATTAACCAAATTTTTATAAGCGGATGAATGGGTGACAGGAGGAGGAGGTAGCCAACACTGTTTTTTAGATATATATTTTTTAATTTAATTGGGGTAGCCCCCAAAATATTGGGACATAGAAAAAAAGAAAACTGTTCCGCAGAGCGACTAACCCGTGCGTGCTGCATCTGAAACTCCACTCTCGTCTGCTGCTGCTTGCAAAGTCTAATGAGGCGGTGAGCGGGAAGGCCGAAGTTACGCTGCAGTGCAGACAGGCGAGCAGCAGCAGGGTGAGAATGCCAAAAGCACGCACAGACGCTTTCTGCAGCAGCTCTGATATATCTGGGTATACACCATGGCATCACAAGGGCCACCCAGAATTGTCTCAACTCCCATAAAGCCAAGCTCCCGGAGGAGATCACCCAGCTCGTCATTGTAGAGCACTTTTTCAATCTGCTCCCCAACGAGAAGGTGACGACACATTTGTATGTCAATTCATATCATCTTTCGATGCCATTGACTGCGCCTACCATGGTGACCACGGGTATTGGGGAATCAGGGTTCGATTCCGTACAGCGACCCTGACAAACGGCTACCACATGCAAAGAAGGCAGCAGGCGCGCAAATGACCCACTCCCGAAGCGGGAAGGTAGTGACGACAAGTAACAATACAGGACTCTTAATAGGCACTGTAATTGTAATAAGTCCACTTGAAATCCTTTAACTCTGTTCAATTGGAGGGAAGTCTGGTGCAGAGCCACTGACCCGTGCGTGCTGCAGCTGAAACTCCACTATCGCCTGCTGCTGCTCAAACAGTCTCTCCAGCATGTGCAAGATGGAGTTCCAACTTGTGGGCACGTCGCATATGAGGCAGTGAGCGGGAAGGCCAAAGTTACGCTGCAGCGCAGACAGGCGAGCAGCAGCAGGGTGAGAACATCGAAAGCATTCATAGCCGCTACAGTGAATGTCACATCCTGTTCCAAGTTGCGGATCAGTCTGGTGATGGCTTCTGGTATCCAGTACTCTTTTTACTGAAGCTGCATCAGGGTCCTGGTATGTGTCCGCACAAACGCTGGTGCTCAACACCAGGGGGCATGCGGTTACCCTGCACCAGACCCCGCTAATCCATTCCACACTGTGACTCCTAACTTCTACATCAGGCATACTGGGTCCCGTTCATCCGACTGCCGCCCAGATAGTGTCTGTGTCCCGGTCACCGGACTGCGAAACTGCGAATGGCTCGTTAAATCTGTTATGGTTCTTTTTCTTGCTTCAACGGTTACTTGGATAACTGTGGGAATTCTAAAGATAATACATGCCAACAAGGGCTAGGGGACGGCCGCTCTGCTTTTGCACCCTGCTCCGTCTTATGCTGTGCTGGTGCTTCTGTGCGACCAGCGCCTCTTCCTCCAAACTGCACACGTCACTCGCATGACCTTGATTTCATGTGGGGTCTAGGACCTCATCATCCTCCACATCATCTTCCACCCACTAATCAACCCTGTCCTCCTTGCCGGTATGCACACTGCAGAAAGCCACAGCAGTTGGCACCTGTGTTTTTCCAGCATGTAAAGTTTGCAAAGGACATTTGGAAATGGTTTTAGAATTGTATCTAGGCAACAGTTTTCCCTATAAACTGACCTCTCAGTTTGACTTGTGAGGGTATTGCCCCAGAATTACAATATTGTTTAAGTACCTCTTAGCTATTGATAACTGGTTTACATGTAGCAGCTAGTTATCCGGTAGTTTCTAGTGTAGAAAATATCAATCTGTTTTCGATCACTTAGATCTGTGTAACAAGTGTTGTAGGTGTGAAACAATATTACAAGTGACTGATGTAGTAAATTTGAATCAAAATTACGCTTTGATTTGACTCTCAGATATGAAGTGAACACCCCAAATATACTATTTAGCACCAAAAAAAAATTAATTTGACTTTTTAAAAACTCCAATGTTAGCAGCAGATTAGCAGCAAAACAATTAGAATGTTTACAATTGCTCTGTAACCGCTGTATTTGACGCTTCTATTTGACTCTCAGATATGAGGAGCACGCCAAAAATGTACTATTTAGCAGTTTAGCAGCGAAACAATTAGAATTTTTACAACTGCGCTGTAAGCACACTATTAGACGCTTCGATTTGACTCTCAGATATGAAGAGCAGGCCCCAAAATGTACTATTTAGCAGATTAGCACCCAGAAAAAAAGAATGTTTACCACTGCGCTGTAAGCACACTATTAGACCCCTCGATTTGACTCTCAGATATGAAGTCAACACCCCAAATATACTATTTAGCACCAAAAAAAAATTGACTTTTTAAAACTCCAATGTAAGCAGAAGATTAGCAGCAAAACAATTAGAATTTTTACAACTGCGCTGTAAGCACACTATTAGATGCTTCTATTTGACTCTCAGATATGAAGTGCACCCCACTAAAATACTATTTAGCAGTTTAACACCGAAAAAAAAATAAGTTTTAAAACTGTAATGTGACAGCAGTATTTGACGCATCTATTTGACTCTCAGACATGAACAGCACGCCCAAAATGTACTATTTAGCAGTTTAGCAGCAAAACAATTAGAATGTCGTGGTCACTACTCTATCCTATTTCTCCTTGACCTGTCTGCGGCTTTTGACACTGTTAATCATCAACAGCTTCTTCTCATCTCTCCTGGTGCTCCTCCTACCTCTCCCAGCACTCTTTCAGTGTTTCTTTCTCTGGCTCTGCTTCTTCTCCCCAACTCCTCTCTGTTGGTGTCCCCCAAGGTTCAGTCCTTGGTCCCCTACTGTTCTCCATCTATACTGCCTCCCTTGGTAAACTCATTAGCTCCTTTGGCTTCCAATATAATTTCTATGCAGATGACACGCAAATCTACCTGTCCTCTCCTGATCTCTCCCTGTCCCTCTTGACTAGTGTCTCTGACTGCCTCCCTGCTGTTTCTAACTGGATGGCTGCCCACTTCCTTAAACTAAACTTGACCAAAATTGAAATTCTGGTCTTTCCTCCCTCAAGTGTTGTTACTCCTGTGTCTGTCTCCCTCCAAGTCAACGGTGCTACCATCAGCTCCACCATGCAGGCTCGCTGCCTAGGTGTTCTCTTTGACTCCGACCTCTCCTTCAAGCCTCATGTTCAATCTATTGCCAAATCCTGTCATTTCCATCTCAAAAACATTGCGCGCATCTGCCACTACTTAACGCCAGATGTGACTAAGGTGTTTGTCCATTCCACTGTCCTTTCTCGCCTTGACTACTGTAATTTGCTTCTCAGTGGTCTTACTTGCTCCCAACTTGTGCCGTTACAGTCCATAATGAATGCGGCGGCGAGGCTCATCTTCCTGCCTGCCCACACCTCTCATGCTTCACCCTTCTGTCAGTCCCTACATTGCCTTCTTATAAAATATATAGCTCAATTTAAAATTCTGGTTCTTGCTTTCAAATCTCTACATAATGCTGCTCTCACCCATCTATCCTCCCTTATACACAAGTATGTCCCGTATAGGCCCTTACGATCTGATGAAGACTTACTTCTACCTTCTGTCCGTACTCCCACCTCTGATGCTCGCCTTCAAGATTTCTCGAGGGCTGCACCATTCCTATGGAGCTCGCTTCCCTCCTCTGTTAGATGCTCACCCAGTCTTCACTCCTTCAAAAAAACCTTATAAACCCACTTCTTCATAAAAGCGTATCAATTAAACTGTTAATAGCTCCTGACTGATTCCTCTTCTGCAACTGTCACTAGTCTAATACTATCCTTACCTTTTTGTGTCATTTTACCCCACTCCCTCTAGCATGTAAGCTCATTGAGCAGGGCTCTCAACCCCTCTGTTCCTGTGTGTCCAACTTGTCTGGTTACAACTACATGTCTGTTTGTCCACCCATTGTAAAGCGCTGCGGAATTTGACGGCGCTCTATAAATATCATAATAATAATGTTTACAATTTCTCTGTAACTGCAGTATTTGACGCTTCTATTTGACTCTCAGATATGAAGTGCACCACTAAAATACTATTTAGCAGTTAAGCACCCAGAAAATTTGAATTTTTACAAGTGCGCTGTAAGCACACTATTAGACGTTTCTATTTGACGCTTCTCAGATATGAAGTGCACTCCACTAATAAAATTTTTTGGGTGATTAAAAGTACAAGTTTTAAAACTGCAATGTGACAGCAGTATATGACAATTCTATTTGACTCTCAGATATGAAGTGCACCCCACTAATGTACTATCCCACTAATGTACTATTTAGCACGCAAACAAATTAACTTTTTAAAACTCTGATGTAGACGCGGTATTTGAAGCTTCTATTTAACTCTCAGATATGAAGGGCACCCCACTAATGTACTAGTTTGCAGAATTCTTTCCTAAGCTGTCCCTCACAGTGGCAGCATCCTCTCCCTACACTAATAAGAGCTCATGTGCGTGCGGTGCTACGCGACTCCAGCTTATATATAAAGGCTGGGTCACATGCTGCACTGGCCAATCACTGCCATTGGTAGGCATGGCTGTGATGGCTTCTAAGGGCACACAATTCAAACGTTTGTTGATTGGCTGCCCTGCAGCCTGTGAAAATGCGCGATTAAATCGCCAAACACCGAACTCCATCTCGAACATACAGTGATATGTCCGTGTTCGGGTCCGGGGTCCAAAAAACTTTTACAGTTTGGGTTCGCTCAACTCTACTACATAGCTCACTTCCCGGGGTAACAGTTTTCGACTCAGATATGCAACAGGGTGCTCTCCTCCATCCTCCCCGACTTGGCTCAGCACAGCCCCCAGTCCAAACTGGACTTGGGCACTTCAGAAAAAGAATTTAGTTTACTCAGAACCGAAATTCGTCAATTCTTCCATTCATTTTCGTACGATATTCGTTAGTTTTTTTCGTTTTGGTTAAACTCATTCGTTCATTTGGCACGATTTAATTGAACCAAATGAATTGAATACATAAAACTATGTCCCCCAATCCCTAAATACCGAATAGCCTCAACTGAATGCAGTAAAACCATTCGTTAAAAATTTCGTACATTGATCTCACAACATGGCATTGAATGCTCTATTTTGTTTAATTTACGCCTAAAATTCCCAAAATAACTCTCGAACCGTCAAATGCACAAACGCTATCAATAGCATTAAAATGTATTGGCCCTATTAGTAAACTCCCCAACACTCACTATAAGCATTCATAATTCGAATGGCATTGCAAATGCAACGCAATCATAAAAATCAGTTCCCTAATCCCTAAATAACGAATAGCCTCAAGTGAACGCAGTAAAACCATTCATTTGTTTAAATATTCGTACATTGATCTCACAACACACGGCATTGAACAATGTTCTAATCTATTTACGCCTAAAATTCCCAAACTATCTCCCGAACCGTCAAATGCACGAACACTGCCAATCACATGAAAATGTATTGGCACTATTAGTAAACTACCGAACACTCACTATAGTCATTCGTATGTCTAATGACATTGCAAATGCAATGCATTGCTTTTTGCTTAGTCTCTTGGGCTCATGAATCATCATGCTTCCCTGACAGGTGGTACTGGCAACACAGTATCATTTTAGAAGGGAGTGGGAAAGTAGTAGCCAATTAAATAGGCTTTTACATACTGCCAGACAAAACTGTAAAAAAAAAAATAAAAAAAAATAAAAAAGT